TGAATAGCTGTGTAACTACGTCCCGCTTCTGCTCTCATGGGGTGAAATTGTGAATACGGAGGAGCTGCATTTGCAAAAACAGCCAAAATGGATAGGTACGATAATCATTAACAGGATGGGTTACTTGGAAGCTGAAAAATAGATTTGTGTACCTTAACTGCCATAAAAAGAGCCAAAATAGACTGAAGCGATGCAGTGTTTTAGTTTAATTGGTGTCTGTTGCCATATAATGCGTACAGAAACCATAAGACGTTTTCCTTTATCAAGGTTTGTTTTGTTTGAAAGAAGGAAATAGTGAATTACAGTCTTGGAAGGCTTTCTGTATGTATAGCAGAAATGGAAGAGGGGTTGATTGTAATAGAAGTAGGGAATTTGCCCATACGATTGAAATAGTTGTCAATTAAATAATGATCTGAATAGGATAGATTGTAGATAATGTGATGGACTCTGATGTATGTTGAAAGAAGGCAGCATGTCTCAGAAAGTTTTATTCCAGGTCTAGTCCAATCTGGTTCTCTGGAGTCCTGTCTGCCTTGTAAGGCTGGAAGTGACGTTGCCATGGCCCTTTGGGCTCCTGGATCTCACTGCCTGCTTAAGCCCACGCTGGCTTCACGTTAGCTGCCAACGAGTCGGACTGGGGAGATGAACAGGCTGCAGACTGCCCTTGCTGCCGGCGTGGTGGGTGTGCGGCTGGGCGAGCCCCCGGCCATGTCTGGCTGGAGGGGTGGCTGCGAAGCAGAGAGGGGTGGCTCTGTGCGGGGCGTGGGACAGGAGGGCAGAGCTCGGGCAGCTCCGGGAGAGGCGGGGGACGTGATCCCGTCTGGAAGTGCAAAATGGGCGTGTGGGCGTCGGACAGCACCTCGCAACACCGCTGTACGTTCGTAGCATTCAACAGAGCCATTAGTCCACTTAATGGTATCTTGGCAGAAAAAAAAATTCTAATGTGAAAGAAACCAAACAAAAGAAAAGCAGAAGGCTGCTGCTTGGGGGGAGGATAATATGATATGTTTAAAGGAAACCTTTATTAAGTTCAGTTTGGCATAATTATGCCTGTGCAAAAGAAAATGAGTAATATACAACAGGCCAAAGACGCTGCCAGATATTGGAAGGTATAGTTGCATAGGCCCAAATGGATCTCTTAAAAATAATCAAGCAGTTTTGGGGGAGGAGGAGGTTTTCCACATAAACTTTGCATGTGCATGAACTGCACTGCTCCGGAGCTGTTTGTCTTGAGGGTTTACATAGGCCTGAGTCTGCATTTTTACCTTTTTTTGCAAAGTTAAATCCACTTAATTGGAAGTCAGCTTGACCTGTCGTAGTTCCTGAAAAATCTCTCTGTATCATCTGGCCCTACTGATCTCCATTTAATGTAATTCTTTCATTAGCTTATTCTCCTTTAACGCCCTGAGCAATTTTTCATTTGTCTTTTAACTCCACACAATTCTTCATGCTTCCTTTAAAATGCCAAAAGGAGAATTCCTATTTGTAATGCTGATTTATCCTTCTTTTGTAATGGTTTGCTGTTTCTTCTTACTTGTTGTAAACTTCTAAATCTTATGTTGCTTTTAACTCTTTAGAAGTAATTTACCTCCACTTGCATTGTTTAGACTAATACATTTTTATGAAAGCTGTATGCTCCGCCCTGTTTCTTCCTACTTACTTTGAGCCTGTTGACCAACGTCAGCCAAAATTGACAAAGGGGCATCAGTGTACAAAGTTTTTACGGGTTTTATGAAAATCATTAAGTTGGTAGAGGGGCAGTGACCCAAATTAGTGTGTCTGCTGATGGAGAATCTGCAGCATGATTTCAAGTTGTCTGCTCTGTTAGACCTGATGTAAGCTGGGCAGCTGGCTGATGCAGAGCTCTGAACCAGTCAGCGGTTTCTGCCCTTGGCTGAGCTGATGGGGAGCGTGGCCGGGTTTCACGACAACGCTGTGAGAGCTCCAGGCTGTGGCTGGAGGAAGCCTGGAGTTTGCACTGCGGACGTGAAGTTGTGTAGGGTGCGTGTGTGAGATAAGTGGTTTGCACCTGATCTTGAAGTGCCCTAGGTGGATGGTTCTTAAAATTGAGCTCTGTAAAGCCATAATTTTCGTGGAGCAGCCTTCAAACCGTGTTAATCGGTGAAATTTTGAGTTAGAAGCTGGTGTCTATGCTGGTCTGCACATGATTCCCGGGCTTGACAGCAGGAAGTTTGTTGAAGTTTTGTGCCTGTTGGTATAATCTATAAATAGATTTTTCTTTTTAAGAGGGGAAGAAATCCGGAAGGAGAACGTATTTGTATTCTTCTCTTAGATCTTAGAGCACCTCCACACTGAAAAGATAAAATCCCAATTTTCAGTTTGGAGTTGTTTTGGGGGGTTTTTGGGTGTTTTTTTAAGGAGGAGAGATTGGGGGTTGTGCTGCTTTTTTTCCCTGCTGCCTTTTCTGAAAGGTGGTTTAACAGGATGTTTGGGGAAATGTGACATTACTGGGTTTTGGCATTCCAGGAGAGCTTGAAGTGGATCCAGCATATCATCTTATGCATTCCCTTCTGCACAGAATGTCAGGAGTAATTCGTGTTGTTGACAGCTATGTCAACATGTGAAACTGAATGAAGGACCGGAAAGAAACAAAAAGCTAATAACAGAAGAGGCAAGAGAGATGTAAACACTTGTTTAGTAAACTTTCTCGCTATCATGAGTAAGAGGGTCAAATAGTGCAGCCTGTCCTTATCTGTTACCACAAGCACCTTCTTGTTGGCAGCGTTCAAGCGAAAGAGAGCTGTTTGTACATCTATGTGTGTTTTGTGAGTATGGGAAATGAGCAGTTTACCCAGGAAATGTGCACAGTGGATTTATATAGAGGCATACAAAAGTCACTTTGATTTGTCTCCGTTTGTTCAGTTATTCACCCCACTTCAAGATAATGCTTCCAAAAATTCTGCGAAGTATGGTCTCACTTGTACCTGTTGCAAATATTAGAAATGTGGTTTGTCTGCCAGGCAGTGCGAGGCATCATGTTAGTTGTAGTTTGATGCCTCTTCGGCAATGGAAGAGTCACCTCTGTTGGTTCAGTGATTACCACAGTGTGGTAATCCTGTGCTAAACTAACTGGCAACTCCAGTATAGGCCGTTGAAGAAACGTTCATTCTATTTTGAGACGTGCTTAGTCATCCCTGTTTTGGCCTCTGACAGGGTACGGGCATTGCTCCTTATTTTTTCGCGGTGAAGCAGCTGAATGCGTTCATGGGAAGGCCAGTTTGTGAGAAAGAGTTTGTGGTGCTGGAGACAGTGAATTCTGGAGTGCTGTGTTACTGCCCAAGTGTGTTGTGTACTGCTAGCAGAAATCAGAGAATACGTTCCACGTTCCGCTGTGCGTTGGTAAACCTAGCAGTTTACATCATACAGATATGGAGCCGCTGCTAAATATGGGACAAACATATGTAAGAGGATCTTTATTAGTAGGGAATACGATACAGCCCTTCTATGTCCTGAAGACAACATTCAGCTATAAATATTTCTTCACTGTTGTAATAGAAAATTTCAGTAGAGAGACTTACCTTTAATTTGGCTTTTTTCTAATAGTTGAACCTGCTTGTTTGTTTGCTTTACTTGTGGTTTGGTGTAGGCCGTGTAAAACACATTCATATCCTTAATTATTAGCATGCTTTGTGTTGATTTTTGGAGGTGATCTTGTGTGCAGATCTAGTAAATTTTGTGTCTAACTGAAGTGTTACATAAATGAAAATATTTTCTCTTATCAGAAATAAAATGCTTTCTATGGGGACTTTCGATGCCAGGACTCTTCTGAAGACTTACTTTGTTGCTTGGCTTAAAGGAAGATGATGTTGTTAATGAATTCTGAGCATCCTTCAGGAGGCTGATGACCCTGCCATCGTTGGTGAATGCTGTAATGGGCAACTTCAGAGGGTAAAGACAGTGTTTTTGTGAGACTGTTTCAAGCTGGTGCTCTGATATAGGAAGCAGTGGATTAAGTTTTTGATTTAGTTTAACTGCTGAAACTCTTTTCACTCTTAAAACCATTCACAAATCATGGGGACAAATTAGAGGAAACATTTTGTTGGAGTAGCTGTCCAGCTTTCTACATGAGCTGTCTTTGAAGGGTGTGTTTACTCTCTAGGTTGTGACATGGTCTAGATATACTTGAGCGAGCTTGAAATGAACTACTTCAGGTCCTGGGAGCAGTCTTACTGCAAAATACAAGCAGTGAAACAACTTAGGTTTTGTTGAGATGTGTACTACTGCAGCCTGACTAGGTACCTGAATACTTTGTTTACAGTCAGTTTTAGTTTAAGTAAGTATTTCAAAACCATGCTACAGATAATTTTAGCAGTGCCTTCAGATACTCTACAGTTGTTTACTGCAAGGGTCAGATTTCATTTCATACTTGATTTAATTTCTGTAAGTCAGTGCAAGATTTTTTCCTCTTAATAAACCCCTGAAAATGTGTTTCTGTTAATAAACCCCTGAATAGTTTTTATTATTAAGTGCTTAATTTAACCTTTAGTCTTTTCGTTGCTTGAGAGCTAGTTTTGACCAAGGTTTCTTCGTAGTCTTCTCTTTTTTTAAACATAGTAAGTGGGAAGCTACACTTAGTAGCTTCCAACTAAATAACTGTCTTAAAATAAAATGTAATAGGTTGCCCAGAGACGTGGTAGATGCCCCATCCCTGGAAACATTGAAGGTCAGGTTGGATGGGGCTCTGAGCAACTTGATCTAGTTGAAGATGTCCCTGCTCATTGCGGGGGGGGTTGGGCTAGGTAACCTTTAAAGGTCCCTTCCAACCCAAACTATTCTGTGATTTGAATAGTTTATTAGTGTTTTAGTAGCAGTACTTTAAAAGGATATTCGAAAGCGTACAGTTTGCTTTCTAAGAATGTTTTATCTGCTCACTATGTTTATTCATTCTGTTTTATCAGCTCTTTTCCAAAACACCACAAGCAGTTAATGCACTTTACAAAGGACTCCTGACCTTTTGCATCTTCCCAAGTCGTATCTAGATGTCACCAGTGTTTCCCATGTTAACAGTTCTGAGCATGTTTTACTATATGTGCCTTCGGCGCCGAGCTAGGACAGCGACGAGAGGAGAAATGAACAGCCGGAGGGCTATCGAATCAAACACCCGCGCCTTACCTATCAATGTTGAAATAGTTCAGTACGCCAAAGAGGTGTTGGATTTCAGCTCGCACTATGGTAGTGAAAACAGCATGTCATATACCATGTGGAATTTAGCAGGTATTCCGAACGTGTACCCGAGTTCTGGTGACTTTACTCAGACGGCCGTCTTTCGAACTTACGGCACCTGGTGGGATCACTGCCCTAGCGCTCGGCTGCCCTTCAAGAGGACACCGTCCACCTTCTGTAGCCAGGACTACGTGGAACTTGCTTTTGAGGAACCAGTTTATCCCACCGCTGTGCACATTCTGGAAACGTATCATCCCGGAGCTGTAGTTAGGATTTTGGCATGCTCTGCAAATCCTTACTCACAAAATCCACCAGCTGAAGTAAGGTAATCTTTTTTTCTCCTTTATGCTTTTCTGTAAGATGTTCAATGCTACAAATAATGCTGTTTAGCAAACTTTATTTGCTAGTATTTCTCCACTTGGTATCTGACCCACTAATGTTTTCTTAATTTCTGCATGTTTTAAAGACTGTGGTGTCATGTTTTCATAGCAACTTCAGAGATGTGGATTTTTCGTTAGGAATTAATATAGGTCCTAGTATCAGATTTAATTTATGTAACCATAGTTTTTGTGTTGGAATTTTTATGAGCAATAATTATTATGTATGTACAGAAAACACTTTTGAAATGACAGTGCTTAGTTCTTCTCTTTCTCCAATACGAAAAGCAAATTGTATAGAAGAGGCTGAGGATTCACAGTTGCTGTATCATCCGACTTCAAGCAGCCATAAACTCTTTCTTCTGTTTGCATGCCTTGGATTGTACGTGTAGTACAATCAGGCACTATAACTGTGTGTATGGAAATGAGGCCAAAACCAGAAGCACAGAACAGTCGGACAAAAGTTGATGCCATTTGCCTGATCTTTATTTTGGTTCGATCAAAGGATGTGAGCTGCAGTTCATTTTTACATTTGCTCGTAGGCTGAAAGAAGCTGATTTTATCCGGTTGGTTTTGCTCATGGTAGGAACTCCTGATGAAATTCCAGTGGGGGGGGGCAGACAGGCAGGCAGAAGGGGACCTGGGGAGTGGTAAGATAACAAAGAGAAATGCTGTGTTTGAGGTGTGAAGCTCTTAGTGGTGAGACGGTGAGGAAATAGAAATGAAGGAGAAAGAACAGGTAAAAGCACATAGTGGGGAAAAACACTGGGAAAAGCTATCAGTATATGCAATCAAAAATATTCCATGTGCATCAAAAAGAGATGAAATGATGCCAAACCCATAAAGGAAGGGGGAACTGATAGAAGAAAGACTGAACAAAATTTATCCTCTGACACTAACGTGCCAACAAATACTGTATTCCTTTAATATGCACGGTTTGGTGGTATAAGCCATGTTAGCCTGGATGGTGGGTGGTATTTCACTGACCTGCCTTTTACAGATACAGCTAAAAAGCGTACTCCTAGGCCTAACTTAGTATCCCATGCTTCCTAATACTAGGCCGTTAATTTTTATTCAAAACCTCTAGAAAATCAGGTGTCATGTTATATATTCAAAATTCCAAATTAGTATAATATATAATATAATAGTATAATGTAATTTTTTGTGTGATTCTATCATCTACCGTTGTTTAGTGCAGTTGTTTGTTTTACAGCTCTCTAATGCGCATATACTGCATAGCTCTAAACTAAACATCCGAATTCAAGGAACAGTGATAGGTCAAACCAATAATAATAGGCTGCCTGACTTCAGAAGTAGGAGTGCGTCTGGCACTGTAATACAGAGCTTATTTATAGGATGGTATGTGGTGAAGGCAGCTTTTAAGACTTTTGAGCTTAGAACCTAATGTGAAATGACTTTTGGCCAATTACTCTGTGAACTTTTGTTTTACTTTTTTATTTTATGATATAGATTTTACTTCTTTATTTTCTGATGATTCGTGGTTCATGCAGAGATTTGTGATGATTCAGATTCGTGTAGAGATCATTTCTGTAACTGTTGATAATACTGCATTAGAGTGATAGTAAGATAATGTGATGCAGGGCGATACAAGGGCATAATTCTGAGGAATAAGCTAATGCTGTTTTATAAAAATGTCTGTTTAGGTTTTGGTTCTTAAAACAATACACTTAGTTTTGTGTAAAGACCAAGAAGTGTTGAAGGAGAGCTCAAGAAATGGTAACTGAAGGATCTCTCTATTAAGGTGAGCTAAAAAAAGAGATAATTGTTCAGAGCGCTAAAAGAAGATGAGTTGAAAATACTGATGTAAAACTTGGGGATGTGCTTTATGATTCCTCTTGCGGTGTGGTCAGAGTGCGAGCTCAGACTTTTCTTTCTTCATAAAAAAGGATGAAGTTTCTGTAGGACCTTGCTTTTTAATATGTAGGCAGGAGTATCTTCTGTTCTACCTACCTAGGTTAACAAAATTTTTGGTTAGAAGAAGGTTGTCTCGGGGAGCCCCAGAACCACTTGTCTGTGCTATATCTTCAATACTTGCCAGTTTTGATGCTAGAGAAGTGTTAGAGGGACTCTTTTTTTTTTTTTTTTTTCCTTTGGCTTACCTTTCCTTAGCAGCTACTTGTCTGTTCAGAGCTGCACATTTGGTTTGTCTCCTTCTTTCTTCTGAAAGAGACAAACATGTCTTATGCATGGTGTCTGGAAGGGAAGATGAAGGGACCCTTTCTCCACGTGAGGTATGTAGTATTATTTGTCTACTCATTTGCTCACCTGTGGGAGGGGAATATGAAGAGTTGGAAGAACAGAGTCTCTTTTCTGCTTCAGTTCTTGGTCCCTTGTTTTCACTTGCAAAAATTCTCTGAGATGTCAACCAAGAATTATTTTTTTGAAGGTGGAATGCTGCTGACAATCTCGGGTGATTCTGTGTTTAACTGATGTTTTGGACTTGAAGAACTGCCATTCTATTCTGTTAAAAAAGGCCACGTCCCAGTTACTTGAAGGGCACTTAGAACCTTGTTTTTTTCCTCTTCTGACTGTTTTGATACGTGATTTTAAATTGCTGTATTACCTAAAAACCTTGAAGTGCTGCTTTGTTCTGCTGACTGTGGACCTGTTTCTTTCTGAACACCGCTGTAGAGAGGGCAGGTCGTTACAAAGGTTCCTTTCACCAGTTCTTTCTTTGGCATAAAAAGAAGGCCAAATTAATGGTGGAGTCGAAACTGTTGAGAGGAAGAAGTCTCCTGAGACTTGTTTAAATGTTATGCTTAGTGAGTTTTACTAGTCTAGCAAAGTAATTTTTTTTTCCGCTTTGTTTAGTATTTATAACATCAGCTTATCCAAGACTTTGCTGTGTGCAAAAGCCTCTGACCTACAAGAGGCTCTGTAGGGACTTGATATACTGCAGTCCTTGCACAAGAGGACTTTATATGTTCTTGCAGAAAAATGGCTATAGCCCACATAATTGGCCAGTGTGTTGCTCTGTTGCTCACTGTGTGCTTCACTTGCATGAAAGAATGACTTGATGCAGGTGTTCAGAAAAAGGTCTTTAGTCATGTTGCTCTCTTGCTGATGCATGGAGTACTACCATTGGTTACAGCTTTGCATGACACTGTCTTAGATCAGCCTTATTCAGAGTCTTTTTAGAGGTGGGATCAGCTCTTCATGGAATGTAAATAAGCAGTTATTGTTCAGAATGAAATGTAATTGTTCCTAAATAATTCTAATGCTTAAAACTTGACAGTTAATTTGATGTTTTTTCATTGTAGTTTAACCAGCTTCCAGCAACTTGAGGATTCTCTGTCCTCTCATATATTTTGCTTCTTTAAACACAGAGGGCATTTGTTGTGGTTTAGCCTGGCTGGATGCCAGGTGCCCACCAAAGCTGCTCTACCACTCCCCCTCCTCAGCTGGACAGGGGAAAGAAAATGTGACGAAAGGCTCATGGGTCAAAATAAGGACAGGGAGAGATCACTCACCCGTTACCATCACTGGCAAAACTGACTGAACTTGGGGAAATTAGTGTAAGTTATCACCAATCAAATCAGAAAAGGGTAATGAGAAGTAAGAACAAATCTTAGAAACACCTTTCCCCACCCCTCCCTTCTTCCCAGGCTCAGCTTCACTCCTGTCTCTCCACCTTCTCCCCCTGAGCCGTGCAGGGGGATGGGGAATGAGGGTTACGGTCAGTTCATCACATGTTGTCTCTGCTGCTCCTTCCTCCTCAGGGGGAGGACTCTTCACACTCTGCCCCTGCTCCAGCGTCGGCTCCCTGCCGCAGGAGACAGTTCTCCACAAACTGCTCCAAAGTGAGTCCTTCCCACAGGCTGCAGCTCTTCACAAACTGCCCCAGAATGGGTCCCTTCCCACGGGGTGCAGTCCTTCAGGAACAGGCTGCTCCAGCGCGGGGTCCCCCACGGGGTCAGCCTCCTTCAGGCATCCACCTGCTCCAGCGTGGGGTCCCTTCCACGGGCTACAGGTGGAGATCTGCTCCACCATGGACCTCCATGGACTGCAAGTGGATCTGTGCTCCACTGTGGACCTCCATGGGCTGCAGGGGCACAGCCTGCCTCATGACAGTCTTCTCCATGGGCTGCAGGGGAATCTCTGCTCTGGTGCCTGGAGCACCTCCTCCCCGCCTTCTTCCCTGACCTTGGTGTCTGCGGAGTTGTTTCTCACGTATTCTCACTCCCCTGTCTGGCTGCATTGTCGTTACGCAAGTTTTTTTTGCCCCCTGCTCAAATACGTTATCCCAGCAGCACCTACCACTGTCACTGGTGGGCTCAGTCTCGGCAAGCAGCGGGTCTGTTTTGGAGCCCGGTGGCACTGGCTCTGTCGGGCGTGGGGGAAGCTTCTATCAGCTTCTCGCAGAAGCCACTCCTGTAGCACCCTCAGTACAAAAACCTTACCACGTAAACCCAGTGTGTTACATCACTCTTCTCCGCATAAAAAGATTTTTAAAAATCATAAATGTGGGAGAAACTGCTGTCTTTACACATGGAGACCTTTTGTGCTTTTCATTAGTGCCACTCACGCCTTGACTGATGAGAAGTGTTTAATAATTTCTTAAACTGTACTAATGTATATTAGTATATATGTTCAGGACGTGGTTTAGCAGGCATGGTGGTGTTGGGTTGATGATCTTAGAGGTCTTTTCCAACTTTAATGATTCTATGATTCTATCCATGTACAAATTTGTTACATGAATTATCTGACTGCAGAAAATCCAAGCAAAAATTAGTAATCTGAAATTGAGGGAATATTGTAGCATGTTGTCTCAGTTTTTATGTGGTGAAGAAATCCCTCCCTTTTTTGTATTCTGTTGTGCTATGATTATTATACTGGTGTGCCCTGGAGGTTTTGTACTGTGGTGCCCATTCTTTGTACGTAGGGTTTGGTGACAAAGATCAGCCCCTCTTTGGCCAGTGGAAGAGGC